AGGAGCAAAATTATTTCCAGAGGCTCCCAGCAGACCTTGCTTGAGTCTCAGTTTGCCACGATTGAAGCATATGTCCGTGCTGCCTGAGAGACTGGGAAATGAGTACCAAGAAATTTTTAATCTCTGTATGGTAGGCTGGCTATGCTGGGAAAGAATGGGAGTGCTATGGAGACTAAAATTATTGTCTGTTTCATTTACTACTGTGTCCCCAGCACCTGGGATGGTGCCAGGTGCTCACTAAATATCTGTGAGATGAATGAATGCTAAGAGAATGCTGTTGAAGTCCATAATGTGCCGTAGAAAGAATCTGTAGTGACGACATGTCATGCTCCCGTCTTCTCGCTCTCTTCTTGTTGCAGTAGCTTGAGCCAGACTGTCTTAGTTGATTGGCTGTCAGAATGAACTCTTGGATTACCAAGGGCTTCTTCCAACTTTCAGTAAGGTAGTATCGGGCCATAACATAGGTAATCAGGACATTTGGTAACACCCTCCACCCATCCAACCTCTGTACTGTTAAGACTATCCCTTTGTTTGTTCATCTAAATGTACCAGGTTTGAGTTTGGTGTTCCATCTTTTTTATATAACAATATAAGTGACACAGAGCATGCCATATTCAGTCATTAAAATGAGAGTGACCCATACGACTGTTAATTGTGATGCCTGTGTTACTCCTTTGGACTTGGTTTGTGGGTTAGGATGTTGGGATGTGGGCACCAAACAGATGACCCAAATTTTTCAGTCAGACTCACTTCTCAAAGCACATAGCAGCTAGGTTGATGACATGTTAATTTCTCATTTGTATCTGGTTACTAAACTAAGGCCCACTCAGCTGGACTAAACAACTGTGTACCACTGTTCACCCACTGCTGTTTGCTCTGTCTGGATCTTGGTTTAGGCTGCTGCTGGCTAAAGCCACTGTGCAGGAGGCTGAATTGGAATTTGAATTCCAAGCCCAGCATTTTTTTATTTTTTTTATTTTGGTATCATTAATCTACAATTACATGCAGAACATTATGTTTACTAGGCTCCCCCCTTCACCAAGTTCCCCCCACAAACCCCATTACAGTCCCTGTCCATCAGCATAGTAAGATGCTGTAGAGTCACTACTTGTCTTCTCTGTGTTGCACAGCCCTCCCCGTGTCCCCCCTACACTATACATGCTAATCGTAATGCCCTCTTTCTTTCCCCCCTCCTTATCCCTCCCTTCCCACCCATCCTCCCCAGTCCCTTTCCCTTTGGTAACTGTTAGTCTATTCTTGGGCTCTGTGTGTCTGCTGCTGTTTTGTTCCTTCAGTTTTTTCTTTGTTCTTATACTCCACACATGAGTGAAATCATTTGGTACTTGTCTTTCTCCGCCTGGCTTATTTCACTGAGCGTAATATGCTGTAGCTCCATCCATGTTGTTGCAAATGGTAGATTTGTTTTCTTCTTATGGCTGAATAATATTCCATTGTGTATATGTACCACATCTTCTTTATCCATTCATCTACTGATGGACACTTAGGTTGCTTCTATTTGTTGGCTATTGTAAATAGTGCTGCAATAAACATAGGGGTGTATCTGTCTTTTTCAGACTGAAGCCCAGCATTTTTAGACAAAATTTAGATTTGCTAAGATTGGACACAAGACTATGTAACAGGAGACAAGAAAAGGGTCTCCTCACTATTAATAATAATGTACTCATCCATTGCATAATACAAGGGACATTTTTTAAAGTTCCAGCTTTTCTCCATGGGTTTGTTTCCTCTGTCAATACAGAGGATTTCCAGTATTCTTCTCTTTATGCTTGAGTCCCTGGATACCCTCTCATGCTATATATGTAGTTATTCCCTCTGGTATATTTTTGGGCCTTGTGGAATTAGTATTACTTTACAGAATTTAACAGTGTGAGCTAAAAGGAATCATAGCTTTCTAAATATTTTTTATAGCCCCCAACTCAGTGACTTGTATAGAATAGGTACTTACTACTACTATTCATTGAATTTATTGGTTGGGAAATGTTCTTGGACATGCTCCCATCCTGAGCACAGTGTAGGCGCCGTATAAGCACTGCATGACACTTAGTTACCTGTTGTTCTAACAAGTTCCCTTCCCCCCCGCCTCTTGGGTTATGTGATGGTAGAGTCCTTTTTTGAGCTTCATTGCCTTTCTGGTCAGTGATCCTACTATGTCAATCACAGTAGACCTAAATTTATATATTTTAGGTGTATGACCTTGCACATATTACATAGCTGTTGTGTCTTGGTTTCTTTACTGATAAAATGAGAGTGATAATAGTACCTACTCTTAAGACTGTCATGATGAATTACCCATAATACATGTGAAACACTTAGCACAACTGATGTGTGTTTCAGAACTACACTTGGTCAGCTATGGATACAAAAGTTGAGCAAAATCAGTGAAAACATTCTGTGAGCATTAATGAGCTCTATAGTAAAGCATGTTGAATTTATTCTTATGACATAAAAATGTTACATATCCTTTATGTTAGTAAAATTTATAATACAGTTATATAGGATACATATGCATGTAACATTTTTGCTGTTTTAGCCATTTACCACCAGGTAACACTGCTTCTACTTTTGTTCTTCAAGCTTATGGATGGTTCTCAAACATATGGATAATGTCTGGATGTAGCTTGTAGCAGATGCTGTTGGTATCCGACCCAGATCTCCTTTACTGGGCCAGTGCATCCATCTCCCAGCTGCTGCGGGTATTGGCTGCTAATGACTCACACCTGTACCCTTCTCCAGAGGCCTGCCCTTGGCTGACAATAATTGCTTCAACCAGATATGTTTGGGAGATTATGAGATCATACCCCAACTCCCTCCTGTTCACCCGGATGGCTCATAGCCAATGACGGTACAGGGGCATCATGGCACAGCCCTCTTGCCTTTGGACTGGACAACTTCTGTGGTTCAGTCCATGCTCTAGAGCTCCTCATTGGGTCAGGCTGAGCCTAGATTTCTGAAACCATCTTTGCCAAGTTCCTTCCTCATTCTAGCTTGTTTCTTTCAGTCCCAATTTGTGCTGACAACACTGGCTATAATCTGGTGTACCAGAAGCATCATCTCAGGTGCTAGGGAACCTGACCTAATTTCAGGTCCATATTGTTTTCCTAGTTCCACCTTCATTTATGCAACTAATTCCTTAAATTAAATTATCTCGGGCTTAAATTTCCTTTCTTTTGTTCTGCTTTCTTGGTTGGACCCTGCCCGATAGGCATCAACACTGCTCATATCACATGTCTTCATGTATTTAAGGTTACTCAACATCAGATGCCCTTTATCTTCTTCTACCTGTTTTTTTTTCAGTGTAATGAAATGAATAGCCTGGTTTTTAGAATCTGAAAATAGTATCAAAGCTTGAGCCAGTCATACCTCCCTTGTATTTTGTTAAGAAGTATATGAGGTATTCTTTTGAAAATAGCGCTGTGCCTAGAATGTATGAAGTGCTTAATAAATGGCAGCTGTTTGATTACTGGTACTGATACTACTCTTTTAAGAGACTTGCCCAGTCTGAATGAGATGCCTCCTATCTTGCTCCCAGAGCACCTAATGAGTACCTCTGTCACAGTGCTTTATTACACTGTATTATAATCTTTGGGGTTTTTTTTTTCATTCCTGTTTTCCCCAGAAAACTGCAGGCTGCTCAGTGTCATCCAGTGGTATATTGGCTCTACAAAGGAAGAAAAGACCTGATATACAGCTTTTGCTGATTTCCGTGGTGAAAATACTCCCACTGTGTCCAATTTCAGGCTATCCCTATGATGTATGTCACTGAATACAGAGCTGGGAAGAGATGCACACAATTGGCTCTTGCTAGTTAGTGCACACCAATTCCAGTCTCAACTTTCAATACCCATATCCAACATGGGAGCTAGATGTTTAATAGATAGCTGAAGTGTGGTTACTAACTGGTTGAGACTTAATCAGATATACTAAATTGGTAAAATAGCTTAATACCTAATTTTTATTATATAACCAATCACACACACACACACACACACACACACACACACACACACACTGCCCAAGGCTATTTATGAATCAAATGAAAGTAAAGGAAGCAGTTAACAGTTGTCGTGATACAGTGGGAAATGCCCTTGTCTTCCCCAGGTAGGTTGTCTACTAACTCAGATGCAAATCTCAATTTTGTGATGTACTAGACACATGAATGGGGATTAGTCACTACACTTCTCTTGGCCCCAGCTTCCTCAGACACTTGGACAGGATAGTCTCTAAAGTCCCTGCTAGTCTCATAATCCATAAAGTCTTATTAGTGTATTATTTCCTGTCCTCCTCCTCTCATTTTCTTCATTCTTGTATTGAACCTTGAGTTATACATCATGCTGGATATTGAAAATAAAGGAATAAAACATGGCCCCAGCTGTTGAGAATCTCAATGTCTTTTCATATCAAGTCCATGAGTGTGCTCACTGCCAAATGGGTTCATGCTGACATACTGAAGACCAAGATTTTAGTTCATCACAAATTTCAACACTGACACATAAAGGTATTGTGGTAATAGTTTTCACATCCTAGATCAAATTAAACAAGGCTATCTTGATCAAAGAGCAGTTCTTTTAAAAATGTCACCAAGATAATGTTAACAGTGTGGAGTGAAGCCTCCATCAGCAATGAGGTTACACTGCTGTCTGAATTAGGCTCAAACTCAATTTATAGAGAATGTGGCTTACTTGGGACTATTACACAAAATCTGAAAACAGTCTTTTGTGTTTGTCTAAGAAGTATTTATCTTGGTTCTTTGTCACCTGTTTGAACAAGGACAGATGAAGAATGACTGGTAGACATTGGTGTTCTCCTTCAAGGCCACATCTATCTACCAATTGGGTCTAATGCCTTCTTTGTTCTCATCAGCCACGATCTCTGCACTTGATTTTTAAAAGTTACATTGGTTTCCAATAGCAATTACTATTGGGCGTTCCCCAGTCGCTGAAAGCTACTTTTAAAAAGAGAATTTGTTTTGTTTTTGACAGGGGCTGATAATATCCGGAAATACTGGAGCCGCTACTACCAAGGATCTCAAGGGGTAATATTTGTACTAGACAGTGCCTCTTCTGAAGATGATTTAGAAACTGCTAGAAATGAACTGCACTCCGCACTTCAGCACCCACAGTTATGCACTTTACCGTTTTTAATATTGGCCAATCATCAAGACAAGCCAGCTGCTCGATCAGTACAAGAGGTACGTCTTGGTAACGTGACAAGTCTTTGTCCTTTGTCTGTTGCACTTTTGTTGCCACATTGGAATCAGAAAAGGTGCCTATCATTAGGGGTGTGCTGGTTAGGCTGTTTTTCAACATGAAACTTTAGTCTTCTTAGAAAGTGTAAAGTCCATACTATCTGATAGGAATTTTTTTTCTACATACCTAACCTCACATAGAGACCATAGATTTCTTTTTTTAACTGTTTAGTAAAAGTTGGAGGACTTAACCGAATATTTTTCTAAGGTCTGAAAGGCTAAAGGCCTGGTTACTTAACATTTTTTTTACCCTGCCAGCTTATTTAGTTTATTCTCTTTTCCAGCTTTCAAGGAATGTGTTGTGCGTATTTCCATGCATCACTTGTCCTCAGATGTCATGTTCTTGTCCCTCTGAAATACGTACTGTTGGCTAGAAGCAGTGGGTCCTATTCTGTAATCAGCCAGGCTGAGAAGTGATGTCTTATTTTGCAAGTTCCGTGCCACCAAAAATGCTTTAATATTAACCCATCCCTTGTCTTCTTGTTCGATTTCATTTCTTAGCTTGTATTTCTCCTGTAAAAGCATGAGACCAATTCTGAGCAGATAATCAGTATCTCACTCAGAAGAACTTCTGGTTCATGGTACTACTTATACAGTTAAAAGATCTCTGAATAGTTTTTAAAGCTTAAGTCTACAGTGACTTTTAACTTAAGTGTAGTGAAATCAAACTTTTAATATATTTCTTTTCACCTGTATCTTTTAGAATATGTTTTATCCCCTCCTTCAGTAAACTGTTTGCTTCCTTTAGTGACTTTAGAATGATTAATAGGAGTGTCACTGCAGTTTAGTATGAGAAATGGATGAGGAGCTGAGGACATCCACATTCTCACTCCTAGGCTCCCTCACACGTAACGTGGTCTTGCAGGCCTGTAGCTTTGTTCCAGGGCTTGTCTTCTCACCTATAGAATGGGAATAATGCCATTTTTATGATAAGTGGGATTAATTTGGATGAATCACTTGCAAGTTTAAATTAGTAGAAGAGAGACCATACAGCAAGGATTTTCACTTAAGTTTTAAGAAATAGTAAGGGCTGGGTTTTATTCTTAGAGCTATGTCTATGTGTGGTTGCCTCATTCCGTATTCAATAGCAAGCACCTTTTTCCTTTTTAGGTTTTATGAATTATCTTACAGATAATATTAAGTAATTCAGATACAAAAAAGCAATACAAACTGAGTCGGGGTGTCATTAATGTGCAGATTGTCTGCATGGGGATCGGGGGTGCCTTCCTGCTCTGTTCTTTAGACCATAGGCAAATCTTTAACTTCTCAGCACCAGTTCTTCTGCTTGTACAGTGGATGTAACAGTTTACAACAGTAGGTATTTATGACTATTAAGTCAGTGTATGATTACAAGATGTTTGCTGAAAATGCCTTGTTATTCTGAGATTCCCTGGGAATACATATATATGCATTACAGAATACATAGATTATATGTAACCTCTGGTACATAAGTAATATGTAATACATATATAATAAAACACATAATGTGAAATAGATGTAATACAAGTGGCATTATAATTATCATATCAGTACAATACTGAAAAGTTTTTTTCTGTTTTTTTGGGGGGGTTTGCTTTTAAATATAAGAAACTATCTGTTTTCCTTAGACATCATAAAATTGAAATTAATGTATTCTTTAACCCTAACATATGACTTATGGTAATCCTCCATAGGATTTAAAACCTGTCACACTGAATAAAGGAAGCCTTTAACAATTAATTGCTTCAGAGTACGCCTTGTTTGTGTTGGCTGGCTATCTGTCCTAGGAAAAGGGCAAATATCTTTTTGTAATTCATCTTTTAGTAAGACAGAGGCTGTAAATGTAGAGTAATCATAGATATGACATGAAAGTTATTCTACACATATATACTGGAGCATATGTGACTTTGACTTTCTATTTATATCAATTTTAACTGAATTTTCCTCAATTTTACTTATGATGAATTTACAAATACTGTTCGGAGGACTGTTTAAGTAAAGCATTTTCCCTATGATTATATAAATATATGGGTGCATGTGAACATTTTAGACTGCTTTAATTGAATACATGGACAAATTCCGCTACAGATCTTGAAATTTGTAGAAACATAACAAAGTGCTCATACTTACCTTAGATTTGGCCAAAAAAGAAATGGGAGCTTCCTATTTATTTCCACTGCTTGAATGACAAAGAGGTTTCTCCGTATAGTGTGTTAATGATGCCTTTTTTAAGTACTCCCAGGAATGTTTTAGGAATTAAGTCAGTATCTTATTGTTAGCATAAACATGGAATTGATAACTGAATTTTGAACTTTTTATAAATAATAACCTCAAAATGGTTGGGAGTAGGCATGGGTACAAGAGGCAGTGGAATATTAAAAAGTGAGTGAAATTACATGTTACCTGAAATAGGTGTAAAAGTCGCCATTTGTTATTACTCCTTTCTTTGCCATAAAGTCATTACATGTCCTGTACTCTGTTGCTTATAAATATTTTTATTCATTTATACCTGCTCATTTGTATGCTATCTGTAGAATTTCTAAATGCTAAAAAAAAATGGTGTTTTGCTCTGCAAAATACCTATGAATTGTAAGCAAAATTCTGTTCTTTTCAGAATCAAGGAAAATGCATTAAGTTTACCAAAAAACAGTGGATAATTCTTTGATGCAGTTAAGACGAAGAGTTGCAAAGGCTCTTTGATTCTTCCCCTTCTCCCGTTGAAGTTATTACATTTTGTGCTTAATGTGTTGTGCAAAAATTTGCAATTTTTCTTTCACTTCTCATTTAATGAGGATACCAGAATATTGTAGAGTTTAGAAGCCAGTAAGAGCTGGTGAACTCCAAGGAGGAAGCTGAATTATCACTGGGGTTCCAACAGAGGGTGAAAACTGTGAGGAAGTCATATATAATTAGTCCCCTCCTTTTCTATGAGTATTGGTATGTTTGTTTATAGGACTGCATTAAGATAAAAAAACAATGGTAAAATTACTTTGTAACCCATAGAGGTCCACATATCTAATTATTTTGTTGCCCTTTTAGAATGCAAGTGGAGTCTTATGTATTGCATAGTTTGTCTTTTTATAACATACCTGATAATGACCTGTGTTTAATTTACCAGAATTTTAAGACTTTACATCTTGAGAATTGATAGTAGAAAGATGTTTTTAACAGATAAAACTTTTTTTTAAAAATAGCAAAACGCTAGAAGAAAGAACACCCTTTATATACTGTCTGAGAGCCAAGCAGTTCTTGCAGCCGATGTTTGTTGTACTCACTGTGGGGAGGTGTACTGGCACTGTTCTCCAGAGTTCACTTATATTAACAGTTTTTCTCTATAGCAAACATACTATAAAAACCTGTAATTATGTCACAGGGCCCACTTGATTCATTAGGGAAACTTCTAGTCTAATTTAAATGATAAAGCTTTAAAACAAGAGTCATTTTAAGGTACATAGGTTGTTTTTTTATTTGTATTGAATTGTAATTGTATCTAATTTGTTTTATAGCTCCCATAGGAGAGCATACTTCAGTTCTGAAGTTGTTTAGTGAATCAGGAGGATTTTATGAGAAGTTAAGTTGATATAGTAGCCAGTAAATGTAATTCTATTTTCTCTCTACACAGTTAGTTGTCCATTGTGATTCTTTCACCTCCTAACTTTTTAAAATCTTATTTTCATTTTATTGGGTATTACCATGTCTTATAAAATAGCTAATTTTGTCAACATGAAAGAGCTGATCCTTTCAGCAGTCTGATTTGATATTCATTCATATCCTTAATCCATAAGTATTTAACTTTTTCAGAAATAGTACATCAAAAATACTGAATTAATTTTGTTGAATATTTTTATTAAAATAAATATTAAGCAATAGGAAAACTGTGAAACATAGATTTTTGAAGTAGAATTATAAGGTCAAATGACTCTTGGCTCCATGGCTCATTAACTGTAGCACAGGAAAATCCAGCTTCTTAATTGGAATGTCAACATTACAGTTAAAATTTGTGATCAGGCAGTCTCTTAATTTTAATGCAACTGTAATTTAGTTTGTTATTGTGATGTACATAGAATGCTGTGTTCTGTTAGAAAAGGATAGAATATAAACATGAGAAGAGTATTTGCAATAATATCTGTAATGATATAAACATTTCTTTTTGACCATGTTGTAATTATAAGTCTTCATATCTTTGAACAATACTTTTAATACCCAGGGTATCATGTTTGAATAGTTTATCTAGTTCTCACTTTCGAGTCTATAGATGTCTTCTGAAAGTACTAGTATATATTTTGTTATTTAATTTTTGTACCTAATTATACATACTTAATTATATTTATACATATTATAATTATACATAAAAATGTGTACTTAATTATACATACTTCTTGTTTATAGATGATTCTTTCTACACCGTGTACTTTTTTCCCTTGCTACAGAAGGTCAGAGTTTTAAAGGATAGAAGGTTTTGGACACTGTCCATAAATAATAAGCCTCTTTATTTTGTATTAATATTGCTGGACAGTAAACAGAGCAGTTCTTTTTTGGTAGTTCTATGAAACAGTGAGTATCACCTCTGATTTTTACATGACAATTTATTTTTTTAAGAAAAATGCAAAGCAGTATTTAAATCACATAAAATACTTAATATTGCTTCCCATATATGAAGAGAAATGTGTGTGTAAAATAATCATTGTAAAGTGTTGTATACTTTAAATCTTAAGGGTCTTCCAAGTATCTTGACCTGCTTCTTGGCAACATTTTAGAATACTGATTTGATTTCACATAGAGCAGCATACATACCTATTGTGTGAGCAGTTTGAAAACTCCCTTATGGGACATATACTTACTCTAAAATGATATAAGAGATACAAATTATTTTTTGCCCATTCCTTACAGATGTAATCCATTCTGTTACAGTTTAATTTGGGGGAAGCAAAGAGAGGATTTCAAAGTCAATTTTCCACTGAATT